ACTCACAGGTGATATTGTAACAAATATGTTGTTTGCTTGCAGAAAAGCAAAACCCTTGACGATGTTTTCTCCGCCAAGCAGAAGGTTTACGAATCTTTCATCTGTTCGCTTAAGTGAAAAATGCAACCAAAAAAAAGAAACACTACACCAAAAAAGGCTTCAGATAGCGCTTTTTTTTTTCTTCAAATAACGCTTTTAAGCGTTATCGGAATCAGTGTTATCTGAAGACCGAATCTTCAGATAACGCTTGAAAAGCGCTATGTGAAAACCTTTCACATAACACTTTTTTATATAAATCGTTATGTGAAATTTTTTTCACATAACACTTTTTTACATGAAGCGTTATGTGAAAAACTTTTCACATAACCCTTTTTTATATTAAGCGTTATGTGAAGGATCTTTTACATAACACTTTTTTATATTAAGTGTTATGTGATGAACTATTCACATAACACTTTTATATTAAACACTGTATACAATATTTCACAATAAACAAGAACCAAATGAGTTAAATCACAAATCCCATGTACCAAAAAGCAAGAACCAACAAGAAAAAAACTTTCTCAAACATGAATATAACAAAAACTTACTAAACACAATCCACCAATTTTTACAATTAGCTCGGGTATGTACAAGAGTATTGTAGGACAAAATAAAGAAAAGATCGTATCTCCTATTCCAACAAATCAAGAAAAACAACTGTTATTCCTAGTAAAAATCCGTCCACTATAAGCCAATATCCAGAGCAAGAAAGTTTTAATGACATTCTCCTGCATCGCGAAAGTTATACATATATTGATATCAAATTTAAGTATTTCATCACATCTTATAAACAAGATATAAAAGAAACTATAATACGAGCATAACAAAATACATACTTGTGTGAAGTACGAAAATAATGCGCACGTATCTGCCAGAATTACAAACTGAAAAGAAACATCTCAATCATTGTCTATTAATTCTATTTTCGAAATACATTTGAAATTTAACCCAACAATAATAAAAAACGAATTGACACTAGTAGAGGTTTTATCTTACAGTGTGAAGAACATATTAAGTCAACTCTTCCCGAACTTCATTTACTTGCTCCTCAGATAGTTAGACGCACTTTTAACAAGGAAATAATACAAAATATATCAATATTAATTACAGTTTAACCAACATACCAAAAAATGAGAGAGTAATAGAATGAATAAAAAAATGAGCTTAAATTAACTGGGATTATTATTTCATAACAAATAATTAAGTTTCTAATAAATTTCAAAAGGTAATACACAGAATCCACACAGTTGGCTTTTTTGGGATAATAAAAGAAACAAATATTTGTTAGTATGTACATATATAGATCAACATCCACCACAAATAATGTCATGAAGTACCTGAACGTTTTTGCATCTTAAGTTCTTCGATTTAGTTTTGGAGACCATCATCCCGACTTGAGGCTGGAATTAAAAACTCGTAATGCGCTAGTAAAAACAAAAAGATCATGGACTTAATGAAAAAACAACAAAAAGCAAATAAATTGTAACAACCACATATGCTTACATGTTAAACACTTCTGTAATATTTGATCAAGATCCTTGCGCACAAGATCTAAATAGCATAGTGTCGCTGTCTTCACATTAATAGCCAACAACAGCCAATGAATCCTACAAGAAAATGTAAACATTAAATACTGCATACTTTTTAGTATTATTGACAATATATATAAAAGAAGAGTCTTAGGATGTATTAGGATGTATTATATGGCGTAAGAACAAACTTATCCTTTGCCTCATTTTGAATAACAAACAAATCAGCTACTGATTTTATCTGCTTGTCTCTTTTAAGTAGAAAATTTGCTTTATGGACGATAAGAAGAAGAACCTCTTTGATAATACAACAAAAACTGACGAGTTCTTTGCATTTATGAAAAATTAAGTTATAATTTACCAAAGGCTAATAAGTTGTTTTGTATAACTAATGTGCATTCTACTGTAATGCACAAAATGAAAAACCCAAATATCTTGTAAATTTGATGAACAAAAATATGAGACAAAATACTTAATAAATCTCAATAATATACCCCTACATTAAACTTTTGAGCTAAATTACATCACATGTCACAATAGCCAGACTTCTAAGCTCCGCAAATTAGTACTGGAACATGGGTTGACATTTTTTTTCACTCAAAGTGACCAAATTGGTGCCTAGAAAAAAACTGATACTAGTAGATTTATGTCATCCAAGTCTACTACCTAAGCAGCATCTGCGAAGCCAATCAATCAAGTCAGAGTGATCCATTTTTTAATGTGAACTCCATGGTTATTGATGCCACTTAAGTATCATGAATATTTTTGGGGTTTCACAAGTGTATGCAATGATTTTGCATATATTGGCTTTCCTTGTTTATAAAAAATGATATTTCAGCCCAAGTGACAGTAGAGCATTTGGGATCTCCTATAATGCTTCTGAAGAAGGTAGGATTATCTACTGGTTAACCTTCATATTTAGATAGATGAGGGTGACATATTATCGGTGAACTGACTACGTTTATTTCTATCATCCCAAGTTTAGCAAGAATTTTATTTAGAGATATACTTGGTTTGACTAAGACAACGCCATGTTCATGATAGAAAACATAAACCCTCAAAAGATTAAGATAAATTATGATAGACAACACTAGTGACTTTTTTTTTTTTTGCCCCATTTGCAGAGCTAGTAAAGATGATATCACAAACATAAACAAGGATCACAATGCATAAAGCCCCTCTTTATTTTTCTAAAAAACAATGATCACATTTTGAAACTGAAAAATAAAGTTTTTTAAGACATGAATAAGTTAATAATTATATGCACTTCAGGCCTACCTAAAACCATTTATGGATTTATGAAGCTTGCAGACAAGTGTGTGTCTTTCATTATCTGTTTTTGGAATCCTTGAGACTGTTCCATATAAATACAAACATCCTATTATATACTGAGAAGTTCATTATAAACATCAAGCCTTTTTATTGACAATGAGTGAGTAACTATTAATGAAAAAATGAGTTTAATGGCTCATGGCTTCATAATTCGCTTGAATGTGTCATTGTAATCAAGTTTACGCATTTGGTTGTATCCCTTTGCCACTAGTCTAACTTATGTTTCATAATATTTCCAGTAGCATCGATCTTTTTTCAAATTCGAACACCCATTTATAGCCAACTGGATAATGTGTTAAAACAGTTGAAGTCTAAGCAATTCTTATGGATGCTTGTCTATATAACTAACAGGGATAATTCTGAGGTAGGGTTCTTCGAATTCTATTTTTTTTTTTAAAATATCTAAAGAGTATAGCAAACAAACCAGATCCAGAAACAATGCAGTCACACAAATTCGCAAAATAAAAGCAAGCAATTAAACCAAAATTGAACCTAATCAAGCGGTGAGCACACCAACACCGCCGGCCTCCTTGATCATCTTCTCAGCATTCTTCGACGCGAGCTTCGCCTTCATAGCCACCGGTTTATCCGCCTTCACGAGCTTCTTCTTCACGACCCTCCAGGA